AAATTGATGAACAATGGGAGGACAGTGCAGTGCAGACAGTTTTTCAATGACAGATTGACAATAGCATTTTTCCACATTGGGAAGATAAGAGGAAAAAGGAATTTCAAAATATATAACATTTAATTTTGAAAATATATGGAACATTGATGTGAGGCACATAGTTGGAAAACAGGAAGTTCCAAATTGTATTGAGACATTTTTAGAATAAACATGCTACTCTAGTTTTAAAATTATCCATTAATTTTAATTAATGACATAAACCAATAAGTAATTACTAGCCTACCAGTTCCCATCACATGTTCCATAGATATTATATAATAAATATGATTAAAATCTATGCAATGTAAATGATATTAGGTAAAAATTGTAAGATTTGTGGTCAGAAACATTTGAAAAGCAGAGATCTAAATGCATCCATCCAACCTTTTCTATGGTTAAATGCCTGTAATTTGAAAACACTTTACTGAAGATTTTTTCTTAGGTTTGGTCTTGTTTTAAGTCACCAAACTACTAACATTATGATAAAATTCACTGTATGTATGCCTGAACAATGAAAACTTCTCAATATGGTAGCTCCCACCATCATTAGATTATGACATGTTCAGCATGCATACTCCTCATTAAACTCCCCAAAAGTCTTTTTATATAATGCCAATATTATAAATGCCCTTATTTTTTAACTCAGAAATTCAAGAGTAACGGTTGGTAAATTAGCACCTTCCTGGATGAATGATTCCATTCTAAATTAGTATCATAACCCAATCTTGGATCCAGTAGCTAAATCCCTCACAGCATGTAGACGATTGCTTTTGCAAACTGCCTTCATTTACTCCCTTATTATTTGTATGCTATGAAATCTCATTGGGGACCAAGAAACACAAAGCTAAAATTGTTGCTTCAAAATGACTCTTTGAAAATTGGGAGTTTAATGCAGTCCACAGGTGGGAAAGGCATATGGCTATGCTCTGGCCTCGTAAGTCTCTGATGTGGAGTAAGAAGGGACTGAGACACAGCTGGAGCTCTGGTTGCCTTTCTTTAAGAACACTTTTCTGCTCAAATTCGCTTGGATGGTGTTTTTCATAAAATTCCACAGTCAATTTATTTTCCATGAAAAAGCTATAATAATTTATCCCCTGAAATCCACTGGAGTAGAGCCAACCAGCTATCCTGATCTCAGCCCTGCATAAGAAACCACCTCCACTCCCATATTGGCTTTTGTGTTTTGGTTATCCCTCCTTGATTCTATATTTGCTTCATTTTTTACAACAAGTAAAAACATTTATTATTGTTCATTTATTATTTTAAACATATTTATTGACTACCAAACATCAAAACGCTAGCTTACGTACTATCAGGAGAGAATCTTTTACAATTCTAAATGCGAAGAAAGATATGCTTAGAAAAGTAGAAAAGTTAACAAAGTTCAGAAAAGATAAAGTAGGGTGATTTTCTCATTCTAATGGTATTCATTCATATTTTCTATGTGTGATCAAATAAGACATACTTTAAAGACCATACAAAGAACCTCTATACATTTTTCCTTTGGTAAAATTAATCATCAGCTCTCATTTTTAAAAATTGATCTTGGATTGCTAGCATGATAGTGGATTTATTCCTGAGCTCATGGGTTCTTGAGAATTGCATGAAAGATTTTCATTACAAGAGCCCAGATGCTTGAAAGGCTCAAGTTTATTGTACAGTTTAAGTGGATGAGTCTGGGGTCCCTCCTCCATGTCCAGGTCTCTCCTTTTACCCATGTATGACATCAGCCATTTTCTCTCTGATACCCTGTTCAGATTATGATGTGCTTGCAACCTTGTTACCTGTAACCTACCACTCAGCCTCTCTAAGACTGTGTCCCATTACCTTTCCTCTTTGATTTCCTTAGTCTCCTGCCGGGCTCACATCTGTGTGGATGAGCCCTGCTGGCCTGCCATCTACCAGGGTATAAGTAAGAGGAAAAGAGAGTGTAAGAGAGTGTTGCTTGGCAAGGGGCTTCCTTCTGTCTCCTACCATCTGTGCTGCTCCCCATAGCCATCCCATTACTATTTTGACTGGATATCTTTTTAGTGGGTAAGGTTTTAAACAACAAAATGCATTAAGTAGCTCACCTGGTGTTTCATCCTTTCACTACACTGTATCATATAATAATTTATCCACCCCCAATTCACTGGAGTAGAGCCAGCCAGCTCTCCTGTTCTCATTGCCCCATAAAAAATATGCTCCCCCCCCCCCACATACTTGAGTCTATTGGTATCTCTCCTGCTCCTCTTTCCTTCACATTCTAACAATTTCATTTCTGCTTGCTTTGTTGATCATATTTGATGTACTTTGAAGTTTCTGCAAAGAGCCTCTCTTTATCTTTCCATTGGTATAATCAATCATCAACTTTCATCAATAAAAAATATTAAGCTTGGAAGAAGTGTTCTTAATTGAATTATTTTACTCTTGCCTCCAAATAAAAGAAATTTTGCTTTTTCCAAATTTCAAATTTCTTTATTTTAAGGTAATTTTCATGTTAATTTATATTATATATATTGGGTATATTCATGAATATATTTGTTATCTTTCTCAATTTTGACTTTCATCAAAACCCATCCAGTCATCATGCTAAAATTCTATTTAAAAATGGGTGCCAGACCCCCCAAAAAAATCTCAAAACCAAGCAGCTCGATGCAGAGATGCCTTTGAACTTTAAGCTAGGCCTATTTCACTGGGTGCATCAGACGGGAGCAAGTATCGTTCCTCCACCTGCCCCCTAAAATTCCCAGTGACTGCCAGCTTCCAGAACCCAATGAGAAGTGCCCACAAACTGTCCCTGGCTGCTACTTAAGCTCGTTAATGGCCACGATCCAGAGACACAGAGATTTCTCCAGATCCTAATTACCTAAAATTTTAGAATTCCAAGACTGTTTTACAATTTTCTGGGGTTTTTTTTCCCTTTTACTTTTGCACCTCAGTTTTTCTCCTAGATTTGCATCTCACTTTAAGAATCTTTGAACTGAGAAGAGTCTAGTCTTTTTTTTTTTAATGTAGGAGTACTGCTATTTATTCAGTCACTGATTAGGCTGATTGAATTGGGCATGAACTCCACCTTATTTTTTTTTATAATTTTATTTATTGAATCACTGTGAGAGCAGTTACAAAGCTTTCAGGTGTAAGTCTTGAAAGATTTCTACATTGCACATTTCTTTCTACAATGAAACACTCGTACCTTCACCAGTGCCCATTCTCCACCACCAAAAACCCCAGTATACCCCCATCCCACACCTCCCCCTACCTGTGGGGCAGATGACCTCCACATTACTCTCTCTCTCTCTACTTTGATTACATTCAATATTTTGACACCCATCCCACCATTATTAGTAAAGCAAAGTAAAGGCCCTCCCGTTGATCATCGATTTGCTCGAGCGGGCCCAGTAACGTCTCCATTGGAGACTTTGTTGTTACTGTGTCTGGCATATCGAATATTCTCCGTAGCTTGCCAGGCTCTCCGAGAGGGGCAGAGGAATCTTGGCTGCGTGCAAGGCAGACGCCTTACCTGCTGTGCTATCGCTCCAGCCCACCATTATTATTTGGGATTTTACCCCAATACTCGGATCTGCCAAAAAGGCAACAGTAGACAAGTGTTTTCTATTGCTGGTTATGAATAACATATGATGTTGATTTTGAAATTCGAAATTTTAACAATCAAATCTGGAGGGATTTCTGCCAAGACCTGCTGGGTTCCGAGATTTGTTCCTGAGTCTCTGGGATCATGGCTGTTTAGCAGCTTGATCAGGAGCCAGGAGGCCATTCGTGGGTGGCAACTCAGGGTCTCATTGGAATAGGGAGGAAAGGGCCGGCTCCACCCCCATCCCATGAGTCTCCGTGTGTCTCATCACTGAGGGCCCAAACCTGACTGTCCAATGGCCTCCGGAGGATGGCGGCCACAGAGCCGCCAAAGGGGAACAGGCAAAGGAACAGCACCCTTTCTCCCTTGGGGTGGCCCAGCGACAGTAAACTACTGCATGGTTCGGATGCATTTCTGCCAAAAGCCGCAGGGTTTTGAGGTATGTTTCTGAGTCTCTGGGATCATGGCCATTAAGCAGCTTGATCAGGAGCCAGAAAGGCCGTTCATGGGCAATAACTCGGGTTCTCGTTGGGACAGGGAGGAAAGGGCTGGCTCCATCCCCATCCCATGAGGCCCCGCGTGTCTCGTCACTGCAGGCCCAAACCTGACTGTCCGGTGGCCTCTGAAGGATGGCAGACATCAGGCTGCCAGGGGTAACAGGTCAAGGCACAAAACCTATTCCCACCTGGGGTGGCCCGGCGCCAGTAACCTACTGCAGAGACCAGATGCAGTTCTGCCAAAAGCTGCTGGGTTTCAGGATTTGTTTCTGAGTCTCTGGGATCATGGCCGTTAAGCAGTTTGATCAAGAGCCAGAGAGGCCTTGCCTCCAAATATATAGCTGAACCGGAGGTGGTTTGTGGCTGTGTCTCCCACATACCTAACTTTTGGCCTTTTACTTTCTTGGTAAACTTGGCCCCAAGTTTTTGTGGTCTGGCCAAAGGCACAGAGGCAATTTAGGGGTATCTGGAAGTCTGAAGGCGCCATCAGGCTGCTGATGCACTCGCCTCACTGGTACAGATTGACCTGCTGGTGGCACCATACCTCCAAGAGTCTAGTTTTTAACTGCTAGCTGTATTGCAAACACAGATATCTGTACTTGATATATAGTTTATTTAGTAACAATCCTGTTTTATTAGCCTGTTTTAAGATTGAGGGATATTTTGGGGTTCTTTATAATATCTCTGAAATTCCAGTGAAATCCTAGAATCTTCCTGAATCAGCCAGTCACCAAAGACTCTGAGGTCAATGAAAAGATGTCTAGTACCTTCCAGGAAAAAAACTAAGTGGTACTTTATTTAAATCACTAAGAATATTTCAATATGCTTTCATATCATTTAACCATGAAAATATAAATGCAACTAAATCTTCTCCTTTTTCTCCACTCTAGCTTAAAAGGTGCTGATGCTGGCAATGGAATCAGAGTATTTGTACCTGATATCGGCATGTTCATTGCAAGTCTCACCATCTGGCTCATCTGTAGAAACATTGTTCAGAAACCAGTGACAGAAGAAGCCGTACAGTATAACTCGGAGTTTGAAAATGAAGAATTGGTAATTATTATTTCATGGAATATACTTCTTGGATTTCTTTCTTTAAAAAAAAGTTTTATTGAATCTCCGTGAGATGCACAGTTACAAAGTTGTTCGTAATTTGGTTTCATTCATACAGTGTTCCAACATCAGTGTTCTCTCGTTTGTATTTCCCACCATCAATGCTCCCAGTTTCCCTCTTACCACCTCCCCTCCAGCCTGCCTCTATGGCAGGCACTTTCTCTCTCTCTCTCTCTCTCTCTCTCTCTCTCTCTCTCTCTCTCTCTCTCTCTCTCTCTCTCTTTCTATCTTTCTCTCACTCATTCACTCCCTCTCTCTCATGCATACACACACACACACACACTTTTCTTTTTGCATTGTAGTTTGCAATATAGGTAGTGAAAGGTTATTATGTTTTCCCCTTTACCTACTTTCAGCACTCAGTTTTTGTCCAGATTTGATCATTTCCAACTCTCTGTGTCATAGTGGTTCCTAACTGTGCTCCCCACTAACATGGCAAGTTTCCAACCTTGGACTAGTCCTACTGGCCTTTGTCCTTGGGTATTAGAGTCTCACACTGTGTTTTTCTCTTTTTTACATTCCACAAATCAGTGCAGTCATTCTATATCTGTCCCTCTCCCTCTGACTCATTTCACTCAGCATAATACACTCCATGTCCATCCATTTACAAGTGAATTCCGTAACTTCATTTTTCCTGGTTTCTGCTTAGTATTCCATTCTGTAGATGTACTATAGTTTCTTTATCCAGTAGTCTTTTCTTGGACACTCGGTTCCTTCCAGATTTTGGCTATTTTGAATTGTGCTGCAATGAACATAGAAGTGGCAACAACATTCCTGCTGTGCGCTTTTGGGCCCACAGAGTATATTCCCAAAAGTGGTTTTACTAGGTTATATGGAAGTTCAGTTTTTACTTTTTTGAGGAATACTCATATTGTTTGCCAAAAAGGGTGGGCCATTTGGCATTCACACCAAAAATGAATGTGAGTCTTTTTCTCTCCTTATTTGTGCCAGCCTTGGCTGTACTTATTCTTTTTTATATATGCCATTTTGGTGGTGTGAGGTGATATCTCATTGTTGTTCCGATTTGCATCTCTCCGATAATTAGCAATGTAGAGAGTTTTTATGTGCCCTTTGGTCAATTATATTTCTTCTCTGAGGAAGTATCTGTTCATTTCTTCTCCCATTTTTTGATGGGGATTTTTACTTATGAAGTTTTAGTGCCACTGGTATCTTTGCTATTAATCTCTTATCAGATGAGTATTGAAAACTTAATTTTATCTCATTCCATGGGCTGTCTTTATATCTTGATCACCACTTCTTTTGAGGTACAGAAGCTTCTTAGTTTAATATAGTTCCATTTGTTTATCTTTGCGTCCACTTGCCTGATCAGTGGTGTTTCATCTATGAAGATGCCTTTAGCCTCAATGTCATGGTATACCTTATAGATCAAGGTGTTAGACTGAGGTCTTTAACCCATTTAAATCTGAATTTTGTGCATGGCATTAGAGAGAGGTCTGAGTTCTTTTTCTCTTTTTCTTTTCTTTTTTTCTTTTTTTTTGCCTATAGCCTCCAGCTCTTCCCATCACCATTTGTTGAGGAGGCTTTCCTTGCTCCACTTCATATTTCTTGCTCCTTTATCAAATATTAAGTAATCATACATTTGAGAGTTGGTGTCAGGATATCCAACTCTAGGCCATTGAACTGGAGGTCTTTCTTTATTCCAATACCATGCTGTTTTAATTATGACTTCTTTGTTATACAGTTTGAAGTTAGGAAATGTGATTCTTCCCATCTTCTTTTTCCCAGGGATTGTTTGAGCTTTTCATAGGGATTTATCGTTCCAAATTAATTTCAGGAGTGCTTGATCTATTTCTTTGAAAAGTGTCGTGAATATCCTTCTAGGCACTTCATTTAATCTGTATAATGCTTTGGTAAGTATAGACATTTTGACAATGTTAGTCCTCCTGATCCATGAGCAGGGGAGGTGTTTCTATTTCCTCTTTTCCACTTTAATTTCTTCAAGTAGTGACTTGTAGTTTTCTTTGTATAGGTCCTTCACCTCTTTGTTAATGTGATTCTGAGGTATTTGATTTTCTGAGGCACTATAGTGAAAGGCATTCATTTTTTATTTTTTAGTTTCTCTTCTCTTACATCATTTGTATATGGAAAAGCCATGGATTTTTGGATATTGATTTTGTAACCTGACACTTTACTGTATTGTTTCAGGAGCTTTGTTGGTAAAGTCTTTAGGATTTTCTGAAGTATCATGTCATCTGCAAATAATGATAGCTTGACCTCTTCCTTTTTCTATCTAGATGTACTTAATATCTTTTTCTTAACTAACTGTTATGGCAGGTACTTCCAGTACTGTATTGAATAAAAGTGGTGAGAGTGGACAACCTTGTATCATCCCTGATTTTAGAGGGAACGTTTACAGTTTTTCCCCATTGAGAATAATGCTTGCTGTGGGGTTGTGGTAGATGGCTTGAACTATACTGAAAAAAGCTCCTTCATTTTGAAAGGATTTGAGAGTTTTTATCATGAACAGGTTCTGGATCTTGTCAAATGCTTTCTCTGCATTTATTCATATGATTATATGGTTTTAATCTTTTCTTTCATTTATATGTTGTATTATGTTGATTGACTTGTGAGTGTTAAACCATCCTTGCATCACTGGGATGAATCCTAGTTGGTCATTGTGTGTGATCTTTTTGATGAGTCATTGGGTTCTCTTTGCTAGGATTTTTTTTTATCATTTTTTTATTAGCGAAACACCATGAAGTACATTTATAGACTTATAAATTTTTGTGCTTGGGTTTCAGTTAGACAATGATCAAGTACCCATCCCTCCACCAGTGCCCATCCTCCCCCACCACGGGTCCTTTGCTAGGATTTTTTTGAGGATCTTTGCATCTGTTTATCAGGAATATTGGCCTATAATTCTTTTTCTCTGTGGTGTCTCTGTCTGCTTTTGATATCAGGGTGATATTTGCCTCATAAAAACTATTTGGAAATTTTTCTGGTTCTTCAGTTTTCTGGAAAAGTTTGAAAAGCATTGGGAGTAGTTCCTCTTTAAAGATTTGGAAGAATTTATTAGTGAATCCATCTGGGCCAGGGTTTTTGTTTTGGGGGAGACACTTGAATACCATTTCAACTTCCTTGATAGTAATAGGTATATTTATGTATTCCAGGTTCTCCCAAGGTCCATTTCAGCCTTGAAGGCTATAAGATTCCAGGGTTTTATCCATTTCTTCAAGATTCATTTATTTCATGGCATAAAGATTCTAAAAGTAATCTCTGATGATCCTTTGAACTTCTGTAGTTTTCTGTTGTGATGCCCCCTTCCTCTTTTCTCTTTCATTTCTTTCTTTTTTTATTTTTATTTATTTATTTATTTATTTTGCTTTTTGGGTCACACCCAGCCAGTACTCAGGGGCCACTCCTGGCTCTGCACTCAAGAATTACTCCTGGCAGTGCTCAGGGGACCATATGGGAAGCCAGGAATAGAACCTGGGTCAGCTGCGTGTAAGGCAAACACCCCACCACACTGTGCTGTCACTCCAGCCCCCCCTTTTCATTTCTGATTCCGTTTATTAGGGTTCTCTCTCTGTGAGTCTTGCTAGAGGTTCATCAATCTTGTTTATTTTCTCAAAGAAACTGCTCCTGGTTTCATTGATCTTTTGGGTAGTTTTTTGAGCTTCCATCTCATTAATTTCTGCTCTAAGTTTTATTATTTCCTTCCTCCTGCCTTGGTTTAGGCTCCTTTTGCTGGTCAGTTTCCAAGATCTTAAGCCGTGTTGTTAAATTATTTATGTGGACTCTTTCTTCCTTCCTGATAAATGCTTGCGGAGCTATAAACTTTCCTCTTAACACTGCTTTTGCTGTTTCCCGTGAGTTCTGGTAGCTCATGTCTTTATTCTCATTTGTTTCCAAGAATCTTTTGATTTCCTCTTTGACTTCCTCTCCAACCCTGGTTGTTCAGCAGCAAGCTGTTTTATTTACAGGTGTTTGATTTGATTCTCCATTTCTAGGTCTGCTTAACTTCTACTTTCAGTGTCACATGGTCTGAAAAGATAGTTGATAAAATTTCTATCCTCTAATTTTATGGAGGTATGTTTAGTGGCCCATCATACGATCTGTCTGACATTTGGAGAATGTCACATGTGCACTTGAGAAGAATGTGTATTCAGCTTTTGGGGAATGAAGTGTCATATATAAAAATATATATATGTACATATATATATTTTTTGCTTTTCATGTTTTTTATTGTTATTAGTGAGACACCATGAGGTACAGTTGTAGACTTACAAATTTTTGTGCTTGTGTTTCAATTATACAATTATCAAATACCCATTCCTCCATTTCCCACCACCACGGATCCCAGTATCCCTCCCACCCCCCATCCCCCCCCCAGTCCCACCTTGCCTCTGTGGCAGGTCATTCCCTTTTGTTCTCTCTCTCCTATTGGGTGTTGTGGTTTGCAAAAGAGGCAATGAGTGGCAATCATATTTGGTCTATAGTCTATATATATATTATGTTCCTTTTTTTTCCATTTCTTCCTTCAGATAAAATATGTTCTTTCTGACATTTAGTCTGGTTAATCTATCGATAAGTGACAAAGTAGTGTTGAAATCTCCCAATATTATTGCATTACTATCAATGTCTTTTCTCAAGTCTGTTAGCAGTTGTTTTAAGTATTTTCCTCATCCCTCATTAGGTGCATATACATTTAGGAATGTGAGTTCTTTCTGCTATTCCCTTGGTCGTTAAGAAATGACCTTCACTATCTCTTATAACTTCCTTCAGTCTGAAGTCTATGTAGTCTGATACTAGTGTGGTCACCCCATCTTTTCAGAGGGGATTATTTGCTTGTAAAATTGTTTTTCATCCTTTGACTTTGAGTCTGTATTTGCTGTGTCTGTTCAGATGTGCATCTTGAAGCCAGCAGAATATTGGGATCACCTTCTGATTGATCCTGCTATTCTGTGTCTCTTAATTGG